AAATTATAATGTAATGGTTTCTCAAGTTTCAAAATGCTAATTGAGCAACAATTAAACTGCTAAATTGGAAGTCACAGTTTAATGGTAAAATACATCATTCAACCCAAGAGTTTGGCTGAAAAGCTTTTTGAGGTTAAACATAAAAACACTATATACCAACTAAACATAGTAAACGGGATAAATACAATATTAATCACATATTATATAGAAGGATAATGTGTAGCTTATGAACTCTAAACTTAATTGTGACTGAAGTAATTACAGCCATCTGCCTGTGAGGGGCAGTATAGTGCAACGTAAGCTGTTTCTGAAAAGATTTGAGTAACCTGACAGAGTGTGTCCTCCTCTATTGGTGTACGGTTTAGGATAGGATTGTCAAAGTGAATACTCACTAAGACTGATTGTTTATAACATGTCTACTTTCTGAATGTAACCAGTCTGACACATTTACATCTTTCTCCCACTGAAGGATAACTCGGGTTTACAGCCTTCTTGTGACATGACAGAGAAGAGGATCTTCACCATGGCAGCACAAGTGGCCTCTGCTCTGGTTGGTTAAACAGCTGTCTGCCCTTCCAACAGTCTGCTTCGCGATCTTTGAGCGAACTACTTCCCAAGAAAACTTTATTTGTAAAGCACTTTAAAAAACAGCAACTACAACTGTGGATTCAGTGAAAGCATAAATACAGTATAAATTATTACACACAGTGCAAAACAAATATATCTGAGATGCATTCATTAGAAGAAAACAGAGTATCGGAGATTTTAAAGTTTGTAATATTTGCAGATGACACAAATATACTGTGTTCAGGTGTGGAATTGCCACAGGTTTTGGAGATGATCACACAGGAATTAACGATATTAAAGAAGTGGTTTGATTTAAATAAATTATCATTGAATCTAGATAAAACCAAATTTATGTTGTTTGGAAACCAAAAGAAAAACATCAAAGTAGAAATATGTGTTGACTATGTATATTTAGAAAGTGTAAATGAAATAAAATTTCTTGGGGTGATCATTGACCACAAGCTCTGTTGGAAGCCACACATTACTTATGTTGGGGAAACTGGCACGGGGCATTGCCGTCCT